CAATAACAAAGACAAACTGAAAAGGCTGTGTGACTTTTTAAACACCAGCAGCCCTTAAATCCCTTCTAACTCCCCCCACACACACACACACACGCACACACACACACAGAGACGCACACACACACGCACACACACACGCGCACGCGCGCACACACACACACACACACACACACACACACACCTGTGGTTCAATCTCACCTGGTCTGTGTGAGAGTCTAACGAGTCTAAAGAGTCTAAAGAATCTAATGAGTCTAAAGAGTCTAACGAGTCTAAAGAGTCTAATGAATCTAATGAGTCTAAAGAGTCTAAAGAGTCTAATGAGTCTAAAGAGTCTAAAGAATCTAATGAGTCTAAAGAGTCTAACGAGTCTAATGAGTCTAAAGAGTCTAAAGAGTCTAACGAGTCTAAAGAGTCTAAAGAGTCTAATGAGTCTAAAGAGTCTAAAGAATCTAATGAGTCTAAAGAGTCTAAAGAGTCTAACGAGTCTAAAGAGTCTAAAGAATCTAATGAGTCTAAAGAGTCTAAAGAGTCTAATGAGTCTAAAGAGTCTAACGAGTCTAAAGAGTCTAATGAGTCTAATGAGTCTAAAGAGTCTAACGAGTCTAATGAGTCTAAAGAATCTAATGAGTCTAAAGAGTCTAAAGAGTCTAATGAGTCTAAAGAGTCTAAAGAGTCAAACAAATCCGACAAATCCGGCTCGGCGTCCTGTCTGGATGACTTTGCTGTCGTGAGGGACGAGGGACGAGAGGCTCGTGTCTTTTTTTTATATCGATTCGTCTTGCACCCCCCGCCGGCCGTAGTGCGTTTGACACCACAGGTCTGAAGAGTTTATTTAAAAGGGACCAAGTGACATTTATGTGCACATAAATGTCACTTTTAATGGAATCAGATTAGAGCTTCAGCTGATTTGCATCCGTGGTCCATTGTCGTACGTTGTGCGTTTACATTTTAAAGGGAGCAATCAGCACGATATGTGACACTCAGCCACCATGACCAAGAGGTTCCTCTATCTCAGCTTTTACTTGCTTCTGCTTCCCATCATCTCAGGAATATTTCAGAAATCTCCATTGATACCAACAAAAAGACGCCGTTATTTTTTCATAGCAAATTTGGTCTTCTTCAAACACAGTGATTGACAGGTCTCTACCAGGGGCGTGTACAGCGTCTCTGCGTCGCTTCCTGTTCACCGCTCACAAAAACAACAACATGACGCCAGATCGTAATCCAAGATGTGGAATCGCAGAATTTAAGGCCTCAAAACGTGGATCCACAAACATGATTCTTTCCCATTTCGGCGAGGACAGTGAACTCACCGCTGGAGCAGTCCAGTCCTCCCCAGCCGGGCTCGCACTGGCACGTATCAGGAGAGACGCAGCGTCCGTGGTCGCACTCTTCAGTGCACAGCGCTGAGGAGGAAGAGCAGCACAATCAAAACCAGCAGCTTCTCATGGACGTCTATGGGAGCAGAGGAGTCGCCCCCTGCTGGTCACTACAGAGAAGTACAGTAATTTCCTCATAGACGTCTATGGGAGCAGAGGAGTCGCCCCCTGCTGGTCACTACACCGTATTGTGCGCCTCCCTTTTAAGATGCGGAGGTCGCCATCCGGTTAACATTGTGCTTCCTGCATTTTCCTCAATAGACGGGAGGTTTATCTCAATCAATCTTTTGGCGTCCAGAGTAATGAAGGTATAAAAAGGCCTTCACTCAGGAGGAAGTGTCCCTTTACGAGCACATCTCGGGCCGGGCAGTGGAAATGTTTCAGTTGGCTGCGGCCTGACAATAAGATCCATCAATGAGGCGGATATTAACGAGTGGAACGCGCTGAGCGCTGCTGAATATTTATGCGATCCGCGTCGACCGGAAGAAATCAGCTGAGATTCTGCGAGCCGGCCTCCCCGACACATTTATCTGCTTTCCACCGCCGACGGTTCACCGGGGAGAAGAGAGGAAGGGATGAAGATGATGATGATGATCAGGTGATGACATGCGCGGGACGCGCCAGCTGTGGCTGTGAGAGTGTTAAAAGAAGTCTGAGCCCAATGCATGCTGGGATCTGAACCCATCAGCCTGAAAGCCGTGTTTGTTTAATGAAAACAACAGATGACAAACAGCTTTATTTTCCTCTCTGCAAAAAAGCAAAGGCTGAACTTTGTCTGACATCATCATCAACAACATACGGGAGGATCGCTGCAGGAATACTGCCTTCTACGTCAGGTGGGGGCCGAGCCGGGGGGCTCCAGCTCGGCGCCACAGAGGGGTCCTACTTCCTAAATGTATCGCGGCACGTCTTAACGTCTTACAGCTTTCTTTGTGCGTCGGGACGAAACTTGCAGCCACGTGCACACTGGGTAAAGAGGGGGGGGGGGCAGGTTGGGTTTTGTGTTTTCTTCATTGGTTTCTTATATTATTCACTCTGGTGTTGTTTGGCCACATTGTTTTGAGGCTGAAGTTCAAATTCAATTTAACTTTTTCAGTATAACAATTATTTTGTAATATTTATTATTTATGTTTACAATAATGTCTTCATCACTCTTCTTCCCAGCTTTACCGTCGCTGTTATTTCTGTTTAATTAAAGTCAAATTCATTGGTGTGTGTGTTTGTTGTGTGTTTGTGGTCAATGAAGGAGATTCTGATTCGTGTTATGATTTTTTTAATATTTCCTGAGCCGACGGCATTTGTCACACTTTTAAATATCTAAGTTACTAATTAAAGAGAAGAACATTTGATTTTTGTTGTGAGACGTGATCAGAAATGACACAGACATCGATTTCCTATTTGCTGAGGGGAGGGGGGGGGGGTCAAAGGTCACGGCAACCGAACCTCAAAACAAGCACTCAGGATCCAGAGAACAGAAGGGAGGACAGAGAGGACAGGAGTCGGTCCCGGGGGGGTAAAGGGGGACAAAGGGGGACAAAGGGGGACACCGAGGGAGGAATCGTCCTGACAAGAGATGAGAAAAGGCCTCAGGGACGGAAGACAGAGATCAACAGGAAATGGAAAACATCCAGGACGAGGAAAGCCCCCCACACACACACACACACACACACACACACACGCACGCACACACACACGCACGCACACACACACACTGTCATTAGTTCAGTCTGTATTTCACACAACAAAAGGCCTGTTAGGGTCGGTCAACCAGGCCGGCGTCTGGTTAGCATGGATGAATTAGGGCGCGAGATTGTGTGTTTGTGTGTGTGTGTGTGCGTGTGTGTGTGTGTGTGCGGTAGAGCGAGCCACACAATAGAGTGGAGGGTTATTTGTTCCCCCGGGGGGGTGGGGGGGGTCTAATGAAGTTGTTTACCAGCAGACGTTGAGTAGAGACACACAAGGCCTCCTCGAGGAGCCCGTTCACCTCCTCGGCGGCCATAGAAGTTACCATGTGGGGCGGATAATTGAGTCCTCTTTGGACGGACAAGATGAGGACGGGGACATTTTGCTCCGGGCTGCAACGATGATGTTTGGTAGTCGAGTAGAAAAATGTAGTTTTTCTTATAAAGGGTCGTGCTTCTCTGTCATAAGAAAAGCAGCTGCGTGGGGGTTAATCACGCCGCGCAGCCAACACGCTTACGCCACGCCTGACCCGCTGGACGCTGAGTAGGAACGAGGACGGAGGTTTGTGTGTCTTTTACTACTAACTACTGATGGAGGGAGAATAGAAAAGCACTCGCTCATCGCTGCACCATCGGTTTTGTTTCTTATTGACACTGAAATTGGTCTTTTTCCTTTTTATTTCATTATTATTCTCGTCTGCATGGGGAGTTTTTCTTCTCGGCGGCCATTACAGCATGATGCTCATTTGGTGAATTAGAGTCAAACAGACCATAAAGCAGGGGAGGCTTTGGGGCGGGGCTACACGCTGATTGACAGGTGTCTAGCAGAGAGTCTCTACGTCCCCCTCGGTCCTCATATGGTCACTATGTCATGGAGAAAAAACATTTATTCGTATTGATCTATTTTTAAAAAGCGCTTGGTCAGCGCAACACAGAACAATACTTCTGACCTTTAGATGTTGTGATTAAGGGATTTAAAAGAGTATCAATGAGTCCAGAGTATATAAACAAAACTCGCCAACATCTTAAATCCACAGTTCCAACAGCCTGAGCTGCTCCAGATGTGTGACGAGATGAATAGAAAAGTGGCGGAACCAGAAGACACGTCCTTCTCTAACAATTAAGCGCAGCAGCTGACGGCTTGTTTACAGGTAAACACAGAGGCTGAACATCTGCCACCTGTCTGCTGCGCCACCAGTGAGACGAGTCACAAACGTCCCCCTCTCAGCTCCGTCTCTCGATAGACGAGACAAGCCGGGGAGCCGTGTGTGTCGGGTGGGACGTTTTAAGACGCAGACGTCGTGTGTTCTGGCGTTAGTGGAAAGAACATCGTTGGCTCTGTTTCACTCACATCGGACACGACGTCCACACACGGCAAACACAGCAGACCTCCACGGACCTCGCTGGCGCTGTTGGGTTACGCCGTGCGGATGGAACCATTCGTCCTTTGGCACAAAGTGCCCATCAAACGCTGATGATTCAACCTGAATTGGTACTTTGTCGGGCGGACGGTTTACATCTTATTAGAGCCAAATAAGAACAACAACAACAACAACAACCCTGTACTGCTGTGATGCTGCTGCTCCTCCTCGTCTCCTTTTACAAATTATTATTCTTTTGGTTCAGTTTAGTTTATTTAATTTACTTTAATTTAATTTAATACTTTAATATTTTTATCTTATTATAGTGTATATAATGTGTATATAATGTGTATCTTTTTATTCTATTGTCTTCCCTGTACATGCTGCTGTGACACCAAAATTCCCCTCTTGAGGGATCAATAAAGTATCAGTCTGTCTATCTGTCTATTAAAAGGCGACATCATTAGAACCGGACACCTGACGCAGGTGTTGGTTTGCTGTTAGCTGCAGCTTCATTCATAACGCTGATGCTAACATCAATAATTTAATGCATCATTGAATGTTTACGATATATTAATACTGGACAGATTTCACTTGTCCCGGACTCTTCTGATCCAAACATTAAAGAAAAGTCCAAGACTCTAAACGTACCGACGTGATTTCAAACCCAACTAAACATTTGCCGTTGGTCCGTACACGTTTTCGCTGCAGCGGGAGAAAGATCGGAGAACGAGTGACCTTCTGACCTCCCGACGGGCAGCAGACAGCCGGTGGAGGCGAAGTAACACAACTTACGGACACAAAGGTTCCCGCTCTCATAGAAGCCGGGGCAGCACTGGGAGCGCCGCCGGTACATCGTCCTCACCCCCCTCCGGTACGCCGTCTTGTAGCTGATCCTGAACACAACACGCACAGACACACACAGACACACACACACACAAGGTACATTTATCTGATTGTCATGGCTTTCTTTTCATTCAAATAAAGGGTTGTGGTGCTGCTTTACTGGGACGCTTCTGAAACACGAGAGACGCTTAAATGTTCGATGTGTCCGCTGGACACAAACGAACCCGTCATCAACCTGTGGAGAGAACTCCACGTGTCCTGGGATCAGCGCGCTAATCGGCTAACCGCGGCGCCCTATCTCGCATTACCACTCGTGACCTGTGGAGGCGCTAGTGAGTTTGTCTGATTCACTCAAAGTATTGTTTGTGTTTTCCTTTGTACCTTGGGTTAGCGTCTCCGTTAGCGCCCACCGCGACCCCCCCGGTTTGGGGGGGTTTTCACTGCCAGGTATCGAGATGCTACAGCTAACCGCTAACTGGGACCACGCAAAGAGACTTTGAACGAGCTGTTTATTAGATTCACGGGCTGGAGAAGTCGTTTCTAGTGATGTGAACGCGTTTCAGTCTTTAGAACGAGCCATCGTGGTCCAGAGAGGTCTAAAGGTCGCCGATCTCTATCTGACCTGAAGGTTCGATTCACGTAAGATAATGATGCTCATGTTGTTGCAACACAAACACACACACACACACACACACACACACACACACATCAGGACAGGATGATTCCTCACACAGACGGTCGGTACGGTATTTATTTATTCACCACCGACTCAAAGAAGATGCTGATACGCTCAGCGGCTGTGGCTATCGCCGCTCAGCGGCTGTGGCTATCGCCGCTCGCCAATGGGAGTTTTTCTGATGGGATCATTTGCACGGGAAGGCAAACGGTCCCTCATCAGACGTCCCGCTGCCTCTCCCCTCGTTTGAGGGAGACGTCGGGTGTGACGCCTCTCCGCTGACGTACCAACCTGTGCCGGGTGCATTTGAACCAGTTGAGGATGTCGGTGCAGCGGGTGTAGTAGACCTGGTCGAACGGGTGAGCGTAGGACTCCTGAACCGTCACGGCGTAGCTGCGCGGGGAGGGAGGACACGGGGACAGATTAGTCACTCGGAAAGGGACACGGAACACACACAGGTCATTGTGGAGGAGCAGGACACGGCGAGTTATCGATCGGGGGACAGGACGGAGCGACGCTTCATCGGGTTCTTTCTAAAAGACACAAACGTTCAGGACTTTACAGAATCCCGACGGGACAAAAAAAGCTTCTTTTTTTTTATATATTTCCGAGCGTTGTGATTTGCAGGAAGTGAGGAAGCCGCCGGGGGAAGCGTTCATTCCTCAGCGGCGATCACACGGGGGGGGGGGGGGGGGGTTATTGATCGAGTTGCTGCCATCAGAAATGACACCGGGCTTTGACTCAGTGCAGCGCTGAGTGCTGAGACCACTCAAGCAGTCACATTATCATCGCTGTGGATTTACGGCCCCCCAGGAGTGAACTCCTCTCCCCCTATTTGATTATTGCCTCAGCCTCTTGATTCTTGATTTGTGGCAGCGTGGGGGGAGGTAGGGGGGGGGGCTTCTGACAGCCGTTATTTCACTTTGGGAATTGGTGGGGGGGCTGAATGCGTGGGGGGGCTGAATGCGTGAGGGGGGTCGGGGGGGGGGGAGGGTTACTCACCTCTCCCAGTGGCTGCACACGTTGGGGTCGTCTGGGTTGAGGGCCGAGGCCAGACAGACGAAGCCCAGCAGGCTGAGCCCCAGCAGGGCTCGGGGGGAGGCCCCGCCGGCCCCCATCGCCCCCATGGCCCCCCTGCCTCCGTCCTGCGGAAGAGGAGATGCGATCCTGTTGAATCAATCAAACGGGTGAACTTTGAGCAGGACGTCAAGCAGGTGAACGCGGCGCGTTCCTCACCGACTGCGACCAGCTGTTCACACCTTGTACCTGCGATCCGCGTAGACCCCCCCCACCCCCGCAGCCGGAACGAGACCCCTGTCACAATAATGACTTTTCTTTTTCCTCCTTGTGATCACGGCTGGGGTCCTGTCGATCGGACGGGGGTCAACCCACCGTGGAATGCGTACAGGCCGAACTTGTTCATGAAGATCGATGCAATAAAATAATGAAATAAAACAAGCTGCTGATGCAACAGCTGGATCTGCGCTAGAAATATGGACCCCAGATGTGAGAGAAAGGAGGGTGCTGTAATTTTTTGCTGGGGGGGGGGGGGTTACAATGAAAGCGGATCTCACCGGTAGTTTATGCAAAATAAAATACCAGCGCCTGAGAGGCCCGACCCCCCCAATCGGCTCGCCACACAAACTGCTCGTCTACACAAACACGCAGAATAGCCCCCGTTGCTCCAGCTGCCACATTCTATCTCTCCTCAAATGGGAGAAAAAAGGCATTTTTTCTTATTTGTGGTTGGTGGACTTTGTGTGACACGCGGCTCGTTTTCAGGGAAACGCTTCTACACACGTTTGTTTTCTGTGTGGACAACGACGTGATGGACAGACAGAGATGGTTGTCCCGCCCACGCGGGTTCTCAGTGTCGGGGGGAGGGGCGACATCCAGGAGGCAAGACTGCTCACCACATTTCAGTCAGGTTTTCACAGTAAAACGCGTTCACCGTCCCCAGACAGAGGTTCATCATGTGCATAAAGACGCCGCTGCTTGGTGCTCGATGGGACGATGGTCCCGGGGTCGGGAGGAGAGAACGCTGATGGTGCACAGAGCAACGGTTATGAGCTGGGGGGGGGTCTGTTACCTGGAGCGGCGGCGGGGGGGGTGGAGGGTGTGTGGATGGTTCTCTGGTCACGGGGGAAAGCCACCCGGTGGAGGCCGGTGTGGAGGCACCTCAGGAGGCTTCCTGAGAGGAACACGGAGAGGAAAACACCGGCAGGATTCACAGCGAGACACTTCAGGACACAAAGGCCGCACGCTGGAAGAGACAAAGATGCTCAGAGACGGAAGAAAGCAGCTGGAAGCTTCCTGTTTGTGTCAAGAGTTTCACAATAAAAGACTCAGAAAGAATTCCCTCCTGTCATGTACCTGCACAAAGGTCTGAATCATTTCATTCTTCTTTGTTTGAATTACACCATTTTTAGCATCTGTTCATTCATTTACAATCCCTCTATTCATTTAAACACCAGACGTCCACCAGACGTCCACCAGACGTCCATCGGCCTCAGCACATTCCAGCAGTAGCTTGATTCTCCCGAGGTTGGAATGAGAGGTAGTTCAGGAGAATCACAGGTTCAGCCACGCTTCTGTTCAGCTGGTTCTCATAAGCAGCAACTCATAGTGACAGAAAAATCAATAAGAACCCAGTTATGGTGGTCAAACATCATGTCCCCGGGCCCCGGTGGATGACTCAGCTCTGGGTTTTTATTCTGTTACAGAGACGCTGGTTTCATGCGTTTAGAGGGGCAGAGGACACGATGCTGTTACACGTTAAGTAAGAAGATCTGAAATAACCTCATTAGAATGAAATAAATCAGATGAGTGCACTCTGATTGAACTAAACGGACATTTCCTAGATTTAATCCTGGGAGCAGATTCATCTCACGAGAGTCATTTAGATCTTCTCAGACAGAAACGATCCTCAATGTAACGGTTGGAATCATCTCATGAGTAACCGATTATGTGATTTATTATCTGATGAGCAATGATGAATCACAGCTCTGGTTGTGTTACGTATTAACATAATGCAGTCCTTTACGCTCACAGCGCTCCACGCCGCCGTCACCTGTTGAAGACATTTCCACGTTTCCCTTTCAAAGCTCTCAGCGACATCGAGTGTGACTTCAGATGTCAATCCGTTATCTCTGTGATGTTCCTGTCATTGTAAAGAAATACACAAAGAACAAAAGTATCTCTTCGTTAACATCAGACTCGCAGGGACCTTGTTGTTCTTCACAGATCAATGGTCTCTTTCTCTCTTTGAGACCAATCTTTGTCTCCGTCTCGCCCTTCACCTCGCCCTGATCAATGGTCACCTGTAGGCGAAGGGGTGCAGAAGGTGGAGGTTGGTGCTGATGGTCGTGGAGCCCAATCGATACACTGATCACGCTGCTTTGGTCGACTGAAGGGCTTTTGCATTTCATCGCAGAGGGTTTTCAAATATTAAACTTGCAAAACACGCTCGATAAACTCTTCATGTCACGGGAGCCACACAGGGGGGGCTTCAGTAGAACCACGATGAATGCCCCCCGCTGCATCTTTAATGTGCCGAGTCGCTTAAAGGATGAGCGTGCATCTCCCCAGGCATTATATGTTATGCGGCGCTCGGGTTCATCCCGGCGGTACAGAGTATTCTACGCTCTTATTTCAGCAGAACTCAGAACCTGACGTGTAGTCAAACTTGAAGAGACAACCGGGATCCCCACAGGAACCAAGGAGCCGCCACAAAGCGATCATTGGGTCTTTGTTCTCCATCACAGGTGAAGACTCAGAGGGTGATTAGACCGTCACTCGGCTCTGACAGTCCAACCTTTAACCCGCTGGGACTCCATGGTGTAAAACCATTATGGATTACGAAGGCCTGGCTGAACAGTCCTCTAATTATTCTACCAGGAAACGTACATGTTCATGTGCTTTGAATACGGAGACGTGTGTGAAACATCCAGTGAGTGAGACTCATAACGACGAAGCTGCTGAGCTGCAACGGACAGTCATGCGTGTTGGACGTAGTGTCTCCTACAGCTTTTACAGAACCTCTCATTCGGGTCTCTGCTGGAGCATCTGGGTCTGTCCATGGTGGACTGGTCTCTGGGTCTGTCCACGTGGACTGGTCTCTGGGTCTGTCCTTGGTGGACTGGTCTTTGGGTCTGTCCACGGTGTACTGGTCTCTGGGTCTGTCCTCGATGGACTGGTCTCTGGGTCTGTCCATGGTGGACTTTGTCTCTGGGTCTGTCCACGGTGTACTGGTCTCTGGGTCTGTCCTCGATGGACTGGTCTCCGGGTCTGTCCTTGGTGGACTGGTCTCTGGGTCTGTCCACGTGGACTGGTCTCTGGGTCTGTCCTCGATGGACTGGTCTCCGGGTCTGTCCTTGGTGGACTGGTCTCTGGGTCTGTCCACGTGGACTGGTCTCTGGGTCTGTCCTCGATGGACTGGTCTCCGGGTCTGTCCTTGGTGGACTGGTCTCTGGGTCTGTCCTCGATGTACTGGTCTCTGGGTCTGTCCTTGGTGGACTGGTCTCTGGGTCTGTCCTCGGTGGACTGGTCTCTGGGTCTGTCCATGGTGTACTGGTCTCTGGGTCTGTCCTCGGTGGACTGGTCTCTGGGTCTGTCCTCGGTGGACTGGTCTCTGGGTCTGTCCATGGTGTACTGGTCTCTGGGTCTGTCCACGGTGTACTGGTCTCTGGGTCTGTCCACGGTGGACTGGTCTCTGGGTCTGTCCACGGTGTACTGGTCTCTGGGTCTGTCCTCGGTGGACAGATGTTGGATTGACCGCTTTGCTCCCCAGAGGATGAACACTACGGACTTGGAGGACCAGAGTTACATTTTGGGGACCTGATGTAGGTCAGACATTTGTTTCCCCCTGAAGATGGTGAAGATGTAAGGATTTCATTAATCCTTCAGTAGGAAATGAGTAATAATGACAGATGTGGTCTCATTCGATCGACTCTCAGGTTATTATCTGTCTGCACGCGCCATCGATCTGCAGAGGCTCGTTACTACACGACTTCCATCAATGGAGACGAAGCACGACCGCCGATCGATGGACAATTAGTTCCCTTCAGGACGGCCTTGATGGACACAGAAACAAACCGTTGCTGTGCGGAACCTTGAGTGCCTTTAAACATCTGCGTTGCATGTATTTGACTGTCATTGGACCCCCCCGTCCCCCACGTCCCCCTCGTCCCCGTCCCCCCTCACTGCACAAGACCAGCGAGCCGGACTCATCCTCGCTTCAGCTCGACGTGACCTTCTGAGGATCGGCGCCTCGGACCCTGCGTCCCTCCTCCCTGAGGACCAGAGACAGCGTTGACTGTCAGCAGCAGGCGGACTGTTTACCCCCGACGTGCTCCCGTCGTTTACGCTCGAGCGCCACAGATTCGCGCGGCGGAATCTCGTCTTCGGCCGCTAGCCGTCGACGAGTGTGGGCGACGACGTCGCCTGCGCAGCTTTTCTTTCCGACGCCGTCATTACTTGAAAATGCTGCACTGCAAGAATCTCTTGATCAAGCGGTGTGTGTGTGTGTGTGTGCGTGTGCGTGTGCGTGTGTGTGTGTGTGTGTGTGTGTGTGTGTGAGAGGGGGGTCGATGTTTTAGGAATAGATTTATTTGTAGTTCAGGAGATCGTGCTGTTTTGAAGTGTGACGTGAGCATGAATGCTTTTCACTCAACGGCCTCTGAGCTGAAAGGCAGAAATGCTTTCTCAGCGCTCTCTCTCTCTCTATGTCTCTCTCTCTCTCTCTCTCTCTATGTCTCTCTCTGTCTGTCTCTCCCTCTCTCTCTAAAAAGCCATTACTTTGTTTGTCCTTGATACCGGGACTAAAAAGCTCGGGGTCTTCCAGGGGCTTATTACACATTAGGTTCCAGTGAATTGGCCCCAGGAGCCAGAAGCGCGAGCACGGACGGCCTGAGTGCAGCTGGACTCTTAAAGGCTTCGTGTTGCATTGAGGAACATATATAGAAACGTTATGAGGCCACAGGAAGCGACCTCGTCCCTGCTTCCTGTTGACAGTCGGCACGTGCCTTTTTTTGACATAATCCTTAAAATCCCGACCGAAATCAACAAATACAGAGAAAGGGGGGGGGGGGGTTGGCAGGACCGTTGTCTTCCAATCATTCACCTCTGCAGGTCGTTTTATGTGATC